TCACGAATACATGTAGGTTTGTATGGATGTGTGTGTTCTCTCTCTCTATATACTATGCTGCCGTTGAATGTAAGTCTGCTCTTCTTCTGCGTTTCCGTTTTGGTATTTTTTTCTTCTATTTTTTTTTTTTTTTTTGGTTGGCGTTGAAACCAAATGAACAAATTCTCGGCTTATGTATTTGTCTGAACACGGATGTACATATGTATGTACTTATGTTTGTATATATTTTTGTTATATTTATTGATGTCGTTGTTGTTTTTGTTATTTAAATTTTAAACTGTTTTACACAAATGATGAACTTTGAACTGAACACACGCACACACATACAGTGATATACAAAAGGTACACTAGCGAAGGAATGAATGCACGTGTGTCATATGTTTTCTCTCAGGAAAACAGGAAAACAAATCATACACCACCGTTCACCATCATCACACCACTCTCACAATGGCAGCTTTTATGTCATTGAACAGAGCGGACAAACGAGAGAGCAGAGTGCCACCTTTTTGTTTATACACATACACACAAACATACGTTGTGGACAAAGAGTTGCGTTTGTTTTACACGACGACGACGAGGACTCGTTGCTTTCGATGTTTACTACTACTACGATTGTTGCCGTTGTTACTGTTATTGTTGTTGTTGTCGTTTCAGTAAGATGTTTATAGGGGGGGACGGAAGGAATACTGACAGCAACAGCAGCTAAAAGGCAGATGTCAAAAAAGAAAGCAAGGAACTCAAATGGTATTAAGTTGTATGCTCGCACAATTCGTTATGGCGCTTCGTATTACAGCAATGCGTTGGCAGCGGGAGCAGCAGCAGCAGCAGCAGCGACTTGGCAGCGGACACACATTTATAACAATAATGTATTATCATCAGAACCAGACCTGCTGTTTTTGACAGATTCTACAACACCTTCTCGCAGACATTGTCACAGTTGTTATTGCTGTGGCTGCGGCTGTGACTGTCACAGTTACTGCTGAGCATGCACCAAAGAGAAGAATGAGATGTGCAAAGGCAATCTGTTAGATGATGGAAGCCGTTTATGGCGCTGCCACGACAATCTGGCCGTTCGAGTATTCGAAGAAGGGAAGAGAGTGGGTGGCAAATTTATGCTTTTTCATTCATATTCTTCATTACTGGCACACATACACTTGTATACATACATACAAACGCCAGCAGGCACCCTCTGCACATTATACAATCAATGGCATCACAGTGATACATCCACCATCATTATTATCACACACACTCGCGACTGATGTAAGCTCTTTTGCTTTTCTCCGAAATGCTTTTCTCTCCCAGTGTAGTTTTACACTCTTTCTCGCTCACTCACTTTGTATTTATCTCACCCTGACCCATCAGCAAACTAAACAAACAGTTTGTCTGGCGTATTGTCCGTTTGTGTTTTCTTCTTCTTCAGTTATGGCCATCAAGTGTGTATGAGTGTGTTTGTTGGTTTGTAAGTTTGCAAGTGCGTGTTCAAGATTTCATAGCATATTTTTAGGAGCGACACTTTAATATATCACTTATTTTCTATTTTTGACCATCACAAACTACCAAGCGCATAATTTGCTTCCTTTTTTGTTTGATTCGGATTCTGATTTTTTTTTCTTTTTATTCTCTTGTTTCTTTTGTTCTTCGTCGTCGTCGTATTTTTGTTGTTCGCATTTGTTTCCTTCTCATTCGTAGGAAATCACTTTCACTTTTAGTGTTCGTGGGAACTCGATTTAAATACAAAACGTATTATTTGGTCGTTGTTATGTTGTTTTGTTGTTGTTCTTTTACTAAGTAATTATTTTTACATTGGAAGTATTAAATTTTTGAGAATTTTCACTAACTCGCACACGCACACCTCACCACAAGTAAAGGAAACTATATTTGTTTTATTTCCTCAATTTTTCTTGACTTGTCAAAAATGAAATTTCCTCTTTCGTTTCTTCTGGTTGGTTGTTTTTTTTTTTTCACTTCAACATACAGACGCACACATGCACATACGAACGCTTATACAGATGATGGTACGTTTCTTTGGACGTATGTCCGTATATTATACAATATTGAACTCCTACAAGATTTCACTGTAGTAAGTCAAAAAAGAACGAGCACAAGGACTGAATATGTATTTTTTTCTTTTTGGGTGATTTGCTGTTGGGCTCAACCTGCGTGTGTGTGTGTTTCGTTAATTTCTTTTGGAATTTACATTGGAATTTGCTATTTTTGCATTGCACTTAAATACTTATCACAACTTTTGTAATTCACTGGCAATTGGAGAAGGGAAAATATCATTACATCCAAAAGTTAGCAACACTTTTTTCCACGCGTACACACACACTAACAGCAGCAGCATTTAGCAATTAATAGCAGCAAATCTTTTTTCACCGCAGCGCACCAAAATCGTCAACGACCACAACGCACGAACAGCAGCCACTATACTCATCAGCTCTATCTATTTGACGCTTAGTTTTGCACCATTTGAATTGAATTCAAATGTGGAGCTTTGGTGATTATTTGAAGAGAGCTTTGAAATATTTTTGCTCTCACTCTCTTCTTTTCTCTCGTTATGAAGTATTCACCACACTTACGATGCAAATTGAAAACGTAACGGAATTTATAAATATAATCGGTAAAATCTTACTATAGGCTAAACATTTTTTTATTTTTAAGAAAAGAATGGAAAACCTGTAACAACAATCGATTCGGACGCCCAGGGCCCGTCTATATGATTATTTAAAACACTACGGCATAATTTCCAAGCTAAAGGGTACTAAAATGCATTAAATTATGTGTCATGGTATGCAAAATACCCAATATCCGGGGGCTATACGATATCGTGGGCCTATATAGACAATTCTCTTTCAGGGGTTAAGGTACTCACAGAAAACTTCTTGTATAGAATTTCAGAAAATTCCATTAAAAATGTTGCCAACATCAAACAAATACCGAATATCAGGAGGTACAGCTATGTGGGGATATACGATATCGTGGACCTATATAGGCAATTCTTTTTCAAGGGGTATTGTAGTCACGAAGAACTCCTTGTGTAGAATTTAAGACAATTTCATTTGAAAATATGGTTAAAATCATCAAAATACCGAATATTGGGGGTACAAAAGACTGATCTGTGCCAAATTTTAGGTTCCTATATTCATTTGTTTTGACTCTAGCGTGATTAGAACAGACGGACGGACGGACAGATGGACGGACAGGGCTAAATCGTCTTAGAATTTTACACTGATCAAGAATATATATACTTTGCTGGGTCTAAAATTATCATATCGATAAGTTACAAACGGAATGACGAACTTAATATACCCTCCATACTATGTATGATGGAGGGTATAAAAGAAGGAGAAATAAAAGGTAGAGAAGTGAAAGGATGGATGGAAGTGCGTCGAATAGAGTCGTGAGTTAATTCCGGTGCCTGGAATCGAGTAGCCTTTTTACAAAGGTAGCCTAAATGTTCACTGAGATCATGAACCGAATGTTCCCTCATAACTCTTGATAGAGCAAGGCTGTGGCATAATAGGGGTACAATCGTTTTATCGAAGGTTGGGTTAGGGTCAGAATATAAGGCTATTGTTTTAAAAATGACATTTTGGTTGGTCATCGGATAATATTTTGCGTTTAAGATGGAGCACAATGTTTGTGTGAAATTGGTTAGAATACATATCAGTACGACAGGGGGGCGTAAATATATGGTAAATTTGACTGTTAAACTTTTTCAGGACAGAATGGTATTATTTCAAAAAATGAAAAAAAAAATGGATTGCATCTAAGATTTTTTCCAATATATTATAGTATTGTAGGATAGCACATGGTCGTCCCCGCACGGCTATAACCATTGCTTACTTCTTTTGTAATGTAGGTTGTCTTTAAAAAGGAAAAATATTTATTTCTTGAGTTTTGCCTTGTTAAGGCAAAGATCGTATGTTTACGATTTATTTGTTTAATTCTCTTTCGAGATGAGCTTAATGATCTGCAATTGGCAGTGAAAAGGTAAGCCAGAGAGATACTATCACACACCCACCACCTGCTTTGCGTTAGGCATATTCGGTTAAGATGATGGCTTACAAGGGTCGTTTTTGGAAGGTAATATTTATTTCGCAGTTATTGCGAATTAAACACAATTCAAGTTCGACTAGAAAATTATTTCTCATTTTTGGAGTTGCTTTCTCAAGAAGAAGGCTGAAAGTACGCTCTTTAAGCCCATATATACTTTTACCCCTGTCAACCTTTCTGTCCAATATTTTTCTCATTTTAATGAAATTACTCGTTTAAAAGGATGGGTTTCATGGTTTCTTTTTCTTAATTTAATTGTATTTGTGCATTTGTTTCCAAACAAATGCACAAAGACATAATACCCTGACCACAGTGTGGTGTAGGGTATAAAGATGCAGCGTATTTATTCATTTAATTTGTCTATTTTATATGGATAACAATTTTTAATCAGTATTATTCAACAAAAATATAATATTGAAATATATTTTTCTCCTTAGCCAATTATTAGAACAGGTCATCAGGACTACTGGCAAAAATTTAATAAAAAAATAATTCAAACTTTGTTTATGATTTCAAAAACCAAACAATATTTAAAATCGGAATAAATTTACTTTATTATAATAATAAAAATTTCACTCAGAATGGTGAAAAATTGAATTAGCGAAAATCCTAAAAGTGCCGACTACTGGTACACTTACCCTAACTGCCAAAAATTTTAATAATTCCCCAATCCTTCAAACCTAGTAATGTTTGTTGTTAAACCATGTTCTATTGGAGGCGGCATTAAATTGAGAAAAACAAATACGAAACGCATTGGAGCAACTTGTTCTTTTTTCTCTTCATTTTCTGTAAACTGATAAGGATTTAAACAAAAAATAAAACAAATTTATAGCTTAACTCACCTCTCTCATTCTCATTCGCTGCAAATTCTCTGTTTTTGTTAGTCGATCGTCTTTTGAGAAACTCAATGGATTGCCTTCATTCAGCATTTACAGTTCAGTCAAAGAATTCCATCGCAACAAAACAGACGTCTTGACATCGCCCACAACTTGGTAGCAGTGAAGTACAAAAAAAGAAGAAGAAGAAAAACAACAAATAAAATAACGAATTAAATAATGAATTAAAACTCAAAATACAAAAAATATGGAAAAGTAAATATTATGGACAGTGATTGAATTGTAATTGTCGGGTTGATTAAATGTCTTGTATATTTTTAGAATTTGGAATGAATTGAAATATTTCCTCAAAGCATTGTTGTGCTTTTTGGCCGCCTGCCTTCTAGTGCCGCTCTTACTTATTGTATTTGTGTGTAAGTATGTAATAATGAAAAGCATAAATTTTAATAATGGCATGAAGTATCCTAATATCTTTTAAAACGAGTCTAAAAGCGGTTCATTTCGAACTGGCTAAAAATGTAATTAATTTACTTACGATCAGTATTCGTGCTACCTGGATAAAATATATAATAAAATCCATTAAATATTTGCTTACAATAAGAAGAAATCCATTAGCATGTCATCGATTTCGAATTGTTTCTTCTAATGAATTTGCAATCAATATGGGCCATTCGCATGTTGCACTTCACAATCATTCAATTAACCATTTGCATATATAGCCTGCACTATTGCAGAACTCACAAGTTGGTTCCATCGCCAGATCCGCAGATCGATTGCACATTGCCACACATAAGTTATTTTTAAATGTATTAACACTCAATCAAAGTTCATATCAGTGTCAGACTTTGTAGATTTATTGTTTTTGAAAATCCGCATACCTGCCTGCAATCGAAGCAATGATGTCGTTGATGAGTTGTTAAGACCGAAACAATAACAAAAGTCTATAATTTTGATCTTTGCCCAGCCGTTGTTACTCATAGTGTTAGGGGGTCTGATAAGCCGCCACAATTCGGGGACTTTACGACTTCATGCTATATCTTTATCTACGATAGACGATAGTAGTTGCACCGATACCCCTAATAAAATAATCAATAACAAACCAAAAAACAACAACAAAAAAAAGAAACAAATACAAATCATTTATTTGTCTTTTTGATAATTATTGTATGGAAATTTATTGAACATTTTACGGTAAATTTATTCTAAAATGTCCGTTTCAATTTAAAATTTAATCTTGCCAATGGCCAGATTTATTCGGACAAATATTCGTACATGCGAATAGGATTGCTGTACTCAGGATCCAAATGTTATTTATATACACCTATAACTAAGGACATTTCATTTGCTGAGATCTTGGCACTTATGTGTATCTGTGTTCAACTGGGTATGTACTAACAGAATTGCGGAGTTGAAAAGGTACCCGCAGGAGTTGGTGTGTACATAAGGGAAGTTATTCTTCAAGCAATATTGGACATGTATTGTAACGTAATTCGTATTTAACTCAAACTTGTGTCATGCGACTTTCACCGAACAAAACGAATTTTAGTTTAGAATACAATCAGATAGTACGCTGCACTTTAATTTGCACATAGTTTCACTTTAACTATTTACTAACATAGGTTTACAAGACGCTATTAAAAACTGAATTTGCTGGCTGGCTTCCTACTCAGTCGTATTTTAAAGACCTTATCAATGCCTGGAAATGTCGAGAATCATAACCCGCGCTTTCCAATAAAGATACACATATACACATACACAAACAGAAAAATGCGAGTAAACAACAAAGCAGGTTGTAATTATAAATACGAGTGAGTGTGAGAGAGAGATATTAATGATGTAACAATGAGGTCAATAAATCAAAGACAGATACATGAAAAAGAAATATACATGAAAAAGAAGAAGAAGTAAAGACCAAAATAAATATGGAAAATTTGACAAACAATAGCAGGTGAAATGTAAAAAATTCTATACAGCTCAACAGAAGTTTACTTTACAGTTCCAATTAACAGAAACTTATTAAACTTAGCTTAAATCTACCAGTTATGCTCGAACAAGCACAAAAAAACTGCAACAAAGTCAAAAGCCATAATTTTTGCATTTTTTTTAAATTTATTAAATGAAAGCAAATAATGTCGAAAATAGCATCAAATTTTAGAATAAGTCTAGATTTGGTCGAATTGGTCACTTTTGAGTGATGGTCTTTAAACGGCCAATGAAACCGTCACACGCTGCCCGAATGTTGCTCTACGGTATTTAGCTCATTCCAGGTAAAGCGCTTGCTTGAGGTGATCGATAGTCCAACGGATTGGTATCCGGAGATTTTGGTGGCCATTGCGCGCTGGGTGGCGCGTGCTAAGTCCTGTTTGAATGTCCAAGGTCTGCGGCCAAAATGTTTGCGTGTCCATGGCTTTAATACACCCTCCTGAATATTTTTGCGATTATATTCGGCATTTATTCCGATGCCACGGTCGATTAATACGAGCGGAGAGCGACCATCGGCGACCTCACCATCACCATGGTGTTCTTTCCCCAGCCTAATGTTTCACAACGTAAAATAGTTTAGGCCCTCATAGGACTGTTTTATTGTAATAAACCATAGGAGTGATGATAAGATTACCCATATACAGGGTGAGATGAAAAATAATGCTTACAAATCGCCTCATTTCCTGCGCACAATGGCCACCAAAATCTCCGGATACCAATGGGTCAAAATACCGCAGAGCAACATTCGGGCAGCGTGTGATGGTTTCATTCGCCGTTTGCAGGGCATAATTCGTGCCAAAGGTGACCAATTCGAACAAATCTAAACTTATTCTAAAATTTGATGCTATTTCCGACATTTTTTGCTTTCATTCAATAAATATCATTCCACAAGAATGATATTTGGTACCAGATATCAGCCCAGAAATACCTCTCTCAAATTTTATCGAGATCGAATCAGATTTTAATATCGTTCCCATATATAGATTTGTCCAATATTATGTTTATTGTGTACACGTGGCTAATATCAGCCAAAATGGAGTAAATTAAGATAATTCCGACTGAATTCATCCTAGTAGTATGTACTTCAATTTTGTTGAAAATTGGTTCAGATCTAGCTATAGCTCGCATATATATGTTTTATCCGATTTGGTTTCAAAGTTTCTCACATGCGTTAAATTCACTCCACAAGAATAATATTTGGTACCAGATATCAGATACAGCTCGAAAATACCTCTGCAAAATTTTATCGAGATCAGTTCAGATTTTTATATATCTTCGATACACCGATTCATCCGATTTTCACGGTAATTGTCCACCATATATGTAATATAAGCCCAAATTGGATACATTTTTCATATTCAAACGAATTTCTCCATTTGGTGAAACTCGGTCCGGTATATCTATTGCTCCAATAAATATATTTTAATATAATTCTTATCAAAGTCATACCATGCACTTTAGTATTATTTGGAACTAGAGGTACAAAATGCTCCGTCGTATTTGTTGAAAATCGATTCAGAGTTGTATATAGTTTCATATAGTAGGCCTCGCACGACTCTTGACCTTTCCACAAATGTTCCTTTATGATATCGAAAAAAATGAAAAACTAGTTGATTCTTACAGGTTCTGGGACAGAGCAAATATTTAGGTTGTCCGTATGAAACACTGTGGAAGAAATTACAATTTATGTTCTAAAAATGTTTCCCACAATAAAATAAATATAAATAAAAAAGCTAAAAGCGATATAACTTTTGGAGATTTTTGGTGGCTAAAGGAAAAGTAACACAAAACTGAATTTAAGACAAAATTAAAACTTTTGATCAACGTAATTAAACGAACTCAGCTCCATAGCCATGAAAATGTAATTCATTAAAATAAGTGCATTAATTGCTTCCTTACAGGTGTCCATTACAGCAATGCCTTTGTCTATTATATACTCTCAATAAAATATCCCGAGCTGCAGATATCGAAAACAAAGAAGATTCGCTCGTTCATCGATACACCAAGAAATGCCGGTATTTTTAATTTCTTGCTTCAGATAAAAGGCCCATGCGACTTTGAGGCCATTCGAAAACATTATGATGAAAATCTGACTGGTGCCCGGGAGAAGACTGGTCATTTGAAATTCCCTAAACTACGTCAGAAATTGATGAATTGCTGGGGCCACTATGGATGGGTCAAGGATAATAGGTAGAGTATATTTGAAAATTACCTCACATGACCATTTATTTATTCCGAACAATCTGCAGTTCTTTCAATCTTAACAATCACATCCTACTGAATAAAGCAACATATCGTGGAAGTCCTGTCCATGACGGCAACCTACAGGACTTTGTCAGCACATTGGTTGAAAAGTACATACCATCCGATCTGCCACAGTGGCAGGTGATTGTTATACCGATTGCATCGAATAAATCTGCACTGAATGTTGATGCCACGGATGAAGAGACATCGAATAGTGCTCAGGTAAAATGCTAGTTCCTACCCTCCGTTTATGGGGAAGTCAATTATGGAAGGAGTCAATTTTCTTTTCCATTTTAGGAAGAACAACATTACTATATACTCTTGAAAATTCATCACCTCATCATTGCCGAAGAAGATGATCTGCACATTAGTGAAATGTTAATGTTGCGTGACAACAGCGAGAAACCGATTATCGAAATAGGTGGATACACGCAAAACATTTCCAAAACTAAAAGTCTCTCGTATTTTATTCGAAAGCCCGAACACATTGAGAGACTCCTGAAATATTTAATGCGGGTTGTCGTCAATCAATGGAATAAATTTATATACGAATTTGAATCCCTTGAAACCCCAGATGATACCAGTGGCATACAAATCACCAATATCAGTCAATTGTTGTCGCTTCTGCTGATCGTGGCGGTAAATGTTATGATTAATTACTGGAAGTCTGTCGTAGTTATGAAACGAAAATCGAATCGGTATCAAAAGCATTTGACACCATCTGAGGGAAAAATAAAGGTAATCAGGCGACTCTTGGCAAAGGAAGCAGAACAGCGGCATTTGTCTTGGCCCACGGCAAAGCTTGCCATTCAAAATTCTCTACAACCTTCGAATCTCACCAAAACTTGGGCCACCCTGGTCTGGAAGGCAAATGTCAACAGCGTACTTGCACTGCCGTATCGCATCTTTTGTGAACTGATGGCCATGAGGGATTTAATTATGAAAGGTGAAACTACCTTAAGCACCACATACTCGGGTCGGCTTTCGATATTTTTGCCACTGTTGATCTATGCTCAAATGGAATTTCTTAGAATCTGTTATGAAATCTTCAAAGCTCCTGTCAATATATTCGAGGAATTTGTCCAATATCCCTCCAGAGAAATCAATAAATTGAATAAAATGTCCTATTCTGGACGTAAAATAGCTTCTTTTTCGAAGCCCATTGATGCCCAGCAATTGCGCGAACGTGTTGCCTTCAGCGATGAGGTACGTGAATCGGATTATGTCTTATCCTGTTTGTCGGGTGCCATTCGCGACTATCTGGAATTGTACTCGACCGAGGTGGCTATACCCAAAATGCTGAACACTACTTGTCGCACCATGGCCAAGGGATATTTCACAGACAATTTAGATGACAAATCCGATTACATTGGTGGAGTGGTATTCCTTCCACTGCCTCTCAAGGTACCAGATCGTGAGCATGCTCGTCAAATCCATTCGATTATAGAACAGATTCGACGCAAACAGGTTATGATTTATTTGGCCTCGATGGGGCAAACCAAATATGACATGTTAACCTCCATCTTCCCCAGAGTTCTAACCAAAATATGCATCAATTATTTCTCATCCAATTTCCCCATAACGATCACAGAAATATACGGTGAGAGTTCAGATTTTGAAACAACATGGGGACAAACTGTGGAAGATGTCTTGCTGTTTAGACCACCTCAGTCGAAGACCTGTAAGTAGCTGCCCTCTTAATTAATTTTATCGTCGATTTTCTTTTAAAATATTATTATTGTTTTCCCAATTCTTTTAGGTCTATCTCTAAATGTACATCATTTCGGTGACCGCTATCGTTTGGCAGTGATGGCCGATACTCAATTGGGTCCAGATCATTCCAAGATCGTTCGGGCATTTGAAAATTATATGGAATCGGTGATATTGTAAATTTTATTTATTAACAAAAAATTGATTTTTTTTTGTGTAAACAAATTTTGGCCTTCTCAGAAACACTTGATAGATTAAAAAAGCTTTGATTCACTCCAATGGAATATTGCAAAAAGTATAAAATGCAATACCCATAAAAATTTTCATTTTGATTAACAACGTTAAAGATGTTTACTCAAAAAATTGTGTTTATAAATCAACACCCTAATAAATTGTAATAAATTCAGAAAATAAGTTTAAACGTTTCAGTCGAATAACCGATAGAAGTATACCCTTATTTACAAATATAAATAAGGGAACCCTCTTCAGGAGACGTACCAAAAGATAGGACCCACATGTTACAACTTACCACATTAGATCTAATCTTGATACAAATATTGCAATGAGCGGCGCTTAAAGAGAACTGAGAAATAATTTCGCATTTTATGCCAGTTATGATTTGGTCTGTTCAAGAACTGCAAGAATGCAAAGATTTTTACTACCATAACCGATTTTCCCTTTATGACGTCGAACAAAAAAATTGCAAAACTAGTAGATTTTTGCAGACGCTGGATGTACAAGAAGCATTAGGGACCTATTTTCTATGAACAACCCGTTTAATATTTATTTAAATGGACCAAGTTTTGACTATATTAGTTACACGATTCGTTTTATATATTACTTTCTTTCTTTTCTTTATTAAAATAGTTAATATTTACAATTCATCTTAGTTTCTATAAATCATTGCACAGATGTGGCAAGGCCTTATATCTAAAGCATTATATAATAAAAAATTTAAATAATTCAGTTACATAGTAATAAATCATAAAGTGTCTGAAGGAAAACTATAAGCAAAAACCTTCTATACAAAAATAATATTTACACAAATACATGTATTTTAGTTTTCTAGGTAAATACCTAATATCAGAGGATTTTCAGAAAATAAGCATTTGGCTTTGAATCTACTAATATGTTGCTCAATGCAACATAGAACCGTATTTACACTACTTATAGAGTAAAGCCAATCCGTCGGAAAATCCCAAGGTAGTTTTAATGCCATCTTAAGAATTTTATTCTGTGCAATTTGCAATCGTTTAATATGTGACTTTGCACAATGTCCCCATATTGGGCAACCATAGAGGATGATGGATTGAAAAATAACCTTAAAGATTAAGATTTTATTATCATTACTTAGCAATGAATTCCTATTAATTAATGGATAGAGAATTTGTTTGTACATATTAACCCTATTTAAAACATGATCTATATGATATTTAAAAGTTAGTTTTTTATCGAGCCAAATGCCAAGATATTTTACATTGTTAACCATGTCGTTTCCTAAAACAAGGTTATTGTTGGGTACGAAACAAGATTTTCTTCTTTTTGTGAAAAATATTGACTGTGTTTTGGTATAATTCAATTTAATTCTCCATTTTAAGTAATAGTCACATAATATATCAATTGAATGTTGCACATTGCTTAATATATTATGACTTAGTAGACCGGTATAATAGATTCCAATATCATCGGCATATAAAGCGAATTTACACGGACTAAGAGACGGCATATCTGAACAGTATAAATTGTATAGAATTGGTCCCAAAACGGATCCCTGCGGTACTCCAGCATGAATAGGCATTAAGTCTGAAAAAGAATTGTTAACTGAAACACAAAAATGTCGACCGCTTAGGAATTGTTCAATAATTTTTATGAGGTAAGATGGAAAATGAAAAATCATAAGTTTATAGACTAAGCCTCGATGCCATACTGTATCGAACGCTTTCTCTATGTCGAATAAAACTAAAGCTGTAGACAGCCCACCATTTAAGCCAATACGAATGTCATTGCATAAACGTTTCACTTGATGTATTGTAGAGTGCCCGTCTCTGAAACCAAATTGTTCATTAGGGAGAATTTTATTTTCATGGACAAATTCTGAAATCTTTTTTTAAAAAATCTTCTCCAATATTTTTCCAAGCGTGCTTAGTAGGCTAATAGGTCTATAATTTTCAGGTTTATTATTAGGTTTACCTGGTTTAGCAATTGGGATGACTTTGCAGTTTTCCAAGTAATTGGAAAATATTGAAATCTAAGGCATGCGTTAAATATATTACTTAGATATGCTAATGCGTTCCCGGTTAAATGTTTTAGCATTTCATTATTGACTTCGTCCAAACCACAAGCTTTTCTTTTTTGAAGGTTACGTATAATGTATTCAACTTCACTAGTTGTAATAAATTCGGAACTAGGAGTAACAATATCAATATTTCCTAACATTTCAACAGTTTCATTTACATTCTCAATGTGTTGTGGTATACCAATATTGTCAGATATTGTGTGATTTTCACTAAATGTCTTAGCAAAAGCATTGGCTTTGTCAATATCTGTTATTAAAACTTGGTCTCCAGAAATTAAACTATGACAACAACGAGACTTCTTCCTTAACATTTTGGATACATTCCAAAACGGCTTCGAACCTTTATCCAAATGTTGCAACATTTTATTCCATTCTAAATTTCTATATTTGTGTATTTCATTACGGATAATCAAACTATACTTAGTCATTGCATTGTGATCAACAATTTGGCGATACCGAATCCAGTCTCTGCGAAACTTATTTTTTATTTTTATAAGGTTAAGAATATAATTAGGAAGTTTACAGTACTTGGTTTTGAGAGAAAAAAGAGGAACAGATCGTCTAACTGCCTCTAACAATGTGCTTGTGAAGAAGTCAACGTGATCATCGATGTCTGCAGGTATATCAAACTGTAAGTTAGTGTGTTGAAACTTTAAATTAACAAACTGCTTATATGCACTCCAATCGGCACAAGAAAAATTGAACTTGTAAGTGCATGACCGGGAGGGATTACCAGAAAGTTTAAATTGAACGGGAAGGTGATCGGATGAGAGATCATTAATGACGTGAGGATTTGTTAAAAGAAGAGGAATGTTAGTTAGAATTAAATCTAGAGTTGATGGATTACACGTTGAGGAAGCAGGGATATAGGTTGGACAATTCGGAAATAAGATGGTAAAAGGGTAAAGTGGATTTAAATCATTAAGAATATTACCCCAGGTATTTGAACGAAGGCAATTCCAATTACGGTGTCTAGAATTCAAATCGCCACAGAAAATATAGTTACCATCGGTGTTTAAGATTTTACGTAAATCAGATTTAAATAAGCTGCGGAGTGTACTACTATTCACACCTCCAGGAAAGTATATGCTATACAACTTAATCGATTGCGAATCATTTAGCTTTAATTCTATTCCTGTGTTTTCAATTATTTGGGTTGGTATACTTTGGACAATTTTAAACTCAATATTATTTTTAATGATTATGGCCACACCTCCGCCAGCTTGCCCAACTCTGTCTTTTCTAACATATTTGTAGTTGGGAATATTGAAACCGTCACTGTCATTCAACCAAGTCTCTGATAAACAACAAATATCAACATGGTTAGAAACTATAAAATGTGTTAATTCAACGATTTTGTTTCGGATACTTCTAGAGTTCCAAAATATTATATTTAAGTTAGAATAATTCATTTATGACTATTATTGTAAACAAATTTAAAGGCTAGTTCAGCTACTACATTAAATTGTTGTTCTCTGGTAGTGCAGGGACCAAGTTTGGAGATCATTTCAGATGTCAATTGCAAAAATTCTTGCTCAGAGAATAGAGTACTGCCAGCCGCAACGGGAAATTGATTATGTGAAGAGGCATCATTGTTGTTGACATGCTTCCAGTTGTTTACAACAACAGGTTTATTAGCAGACTTGCATAGTGGAGGAAAGTTCTCATTGTTAGTGTTGAACTCAATGCAACATGACAACCTTTCTCTCCATGACCATGCATTTGACATTTTCGACATTGAACCGTTTTGTTTTTAATACGCCTTTGGTAGTCCCATGTAATAATAATTTTGAAAAGAGATCGAATATTTTTTCTCAATTCATGTAGTTTCACACTGCCTCTTTCAAGGTGGACAATGTAAAGAGTATCAACATATTTTTCATAAGTACGTTTCACTTCTTTAACGTCAATGCACTTTAGTCCGAGAGATATTAACTCATTTTTAACTTCTGTGCTTGTTTTATTATCTAGTCTGTGAATGACAACTTTAAATGGTTTGTTGTTTTTGTGATCATGTGTGAAGTATTGATAGTTTTTTTTCCTGCAAAACCGCAATCACTTTGTTATATGTTGTTATTGTATTACACAAAATTTTTAAACCAATTGATATTTTTTTAACTAAGAAATCATCAATCTTTCTATCATTAAGCAAGTTGATTATAATATCACTGTTTTTAGTTAAAACTTTAATGGGTGAAATTTTATTATTTTGGCCGCTTTGGGGCTGTTCACTGTTCATGGCAGTTATTGAATTGTCATCATCATTGTCTAAGAGTTGTAAGGGAGTCCAACGGTTTCGTCTGGTCCCAGTTTTAGCAATTTTAGATGAAGACATGCCGACTTCATCATCCAAGCAATGGGACAGATTTCGTTTTGGATTTTTTTTTTTTTTTTTTTTATTAACGAGTAAGCAACTTCTAGAGAGCGATAGTTAGTTTGCACGTCTGACAATTGCGAAAGCCTAAGCAAGACTCGTTTTATATATTACGATTCATTTTATATATTACTAAATGAACCCGATGCGCTTCACTACTCCTTTTGATTTTATACTCATTCAAAATTTTAAATACGAATATTTGTTGGTTTAAAAAAATATAAATAATAAATTCAAAAATTAAAAAAATATTGGAATACTTTAATGCGTAAACAAACAAATAGCTCGGTCTACCAACGCGTGAATATGCCAGGAACAGCTGACCATGAAAAAAGCAGGAACATGTCAAATTTAGTCCGCATACACGAAGAGTTTGTCCTTCGTATTTATTAATTTCATAGCAAAAGCCTAGGATGCAGGAAACTGCAATCTTTTGAAGTTGAATGGCATTTCTTTTGCAATTAGTAAACTCGAGGTAGCACTTCCCCATAATAATCGTGTCGCCAATTAAAATGTTGTGTAGTTTTTTACTGTTAGCCTAATACCAAAGGAGCTGCGGCGAAGCGCTTGCTAGAGGTGATCGACACTTTTAGTGCCAACCTTGCTTTCCAAAATACTCCAGACACAATAGTCCAATGAATTTGTATCCGGAGATTTTGGTGGCCATTGTGCGCTGGGAATAAAGCGAGGAACCTCATTGTAACTACTGAGTCCTGTTGGAATGTCCAAGGTCGTCGACCAAAATGTTTGCGTGCCCAAGGCTTTAATACACCCTCCAGAATATTTTCGCGATAATATTCGGCATTTATTCTGATGTCAAGGTCGATTAATACGAGCGAAGAGCGACCATCGGCAGTTATAGCGGCCCACACCATCACCATGGCCAGCGCTTGACTTCTGGTGGCCAATCGAAGGTGCACATTTTCAGCTGACCTCTTTGGCAAGTAAACACTATTATTTTGTTTGTTTACAAACTACTGGACAACGAATGTTTTCTCATCGGAGAAAACCAAATTCGGCAGTTCACCACTTTCGGCCAAGCGAAGCAACTCTTTAGCTCATTTGAGTTTATTTATACCCTACACCACAAGGTGGTCAGTGTATTATGTCTTTGTGCATTTATTTGTAACATGTAAAAGGAAACGAGATAGATCCATAGTTCCTTTTGATGATCTGCATAGAATCATATTCTGAGTCGATTTATGCATGTCCGTCCGTCCGTCCGTCTGTCTGTCCGTCCGTTAGTCTGTCCATGTATTTTTGTGAACAAAGTACAGTTCGCATTTATTAGCCGTTCCAGATGAAATTTTGCACAAATCATTTGTTTGGCCCAAGGACGAATCCTATTGAAATTGGAGATAATCGGTAAAAATTTAGATATGTCTCCCATATATATCTTCGTCCGATTTGCCTTTTATTGTGCACCAAACGTGTAATATCAGCCCGAATAGTATGGAATGCCGAATTTGATCGAAATCGATTCAGATATAGCTATAGCTCCAATTATATTGTTCATCCGATTTGTTATTTTAGTCCTCCGCAGCCGTAATATGCACTCTGTAACAACAATATTTGGGGAAATATATAAAATACAGCTCAGAAATACCTTTGCTAAATTTTATCGAGATCGGTTCGGATTTGGATATATCTCCGATTTACATTTTATTGTTCACCAAACGTTTAATATGAAATTTAGCACTTACGACCGAATTGAGTCTAGAATCTAGTATGTCAAATTTGGTGAAGATCGGTTCAGATATAGTTATAGCTCCCATATATACTGTTCATCCGATTTGTTATATTTGTTACCCACAGCCGTAATATGCACTCCGTAACAACGATATTCAGGGAAATATACGAAATACAGCTCATAAATATCTTATCCAAATTTTATCAAGATCGGTTCAGATTTGGATATAGCTCCCATATATATCAAATGGGCAATACAAGTCCGAATATAAAAGATACAAAAGCTTCGGCATATTTAGTCTCTTGAACTTTAAATTATAATCATAATCATAGCGTGTATGATTGAATTCTCCCATAAAAACTTTTAATTGTTATGTGGAGCTCTACTAAATTAGCAAAGTGGTGACATGACTTTAGGATTTTCTTTAATGGTTTCTTTCTGTTGTGGTGTGAGTTCTTGCACTTTTTGGAATTTCAATGGCTTTACCTTTCCCGAGCTCATTTTTCATTATTTGCCGAATGGAATATTGCGATATGTTCAGCTCACAATCCATTTTTCGATCAAGTCGCTTCTTTACTTTTCGAACCATTTCTGCTGATGGTGCTGTTTTCTTCAGTCCACTTCCTTGACGTCGGGCTACGCTACCAGTATCACGGTAACGAGAGATGGTACGAGACACAAAACATTTATTCACATTTAAATGATGGAGTGCTCTAATGATAGCCACTTGTGATTTTCCAGCCAAATATAAAGAAATCACACTATTACGCTTAAATTCCATCACGAATAACTTTTTTTCTGAAAAATTCTCACCAAACGCTTGTAAACAATATGATTAGCTGTCACTGGAATAAGTGGCTTAGAAAGTGGCTTAGAAATGACCACAGTCTGAAGTTGGTTGCAGTTTTTTTTATCTCACGCGGTATATATGAGAGCTATACCCAAACCTCAACCGATTTCAATATTATTTGACAAATTTTTTTGGTATTAAATTTGGTCTTTCTGTCCGAATTTTTTTTGGAATCGGACATACATATCGTTGGGTGCATCAAACATGAAAACTCGCCCGAAAATAGATATCCATATCCGAACCGATTTGAATATAATTTGATAAATTTATTTTTGTACCAAATTTAATCGACGACGAGTTTCATTGGAATCGGACATACGTGTTTGGTGCATCAAATATGTTAAATCGGCCGAAAATATATATGGGAGCTATATCTAAATCTGAATCGATTTCAATATAATTCGCCAAATGTATGTTTCTTTTAAATTCCGTTACACATTCCATATTTCATTGAAATTGGAGGTACATACCGAGTTTGGTGCATCAAATTTGTGAAATGGGCCGAAAATATATATGGGAGCTTCATATACCAGTAAGACCTTTTGCATAATGCAGTTAAACTTATCAAAAAACCGTAAAGTGAGTGAGGCCGTTATATGGGGCCATACCAAAACGGGAACCTCTATAGACAATTTTATTCTTCAAGGATTGGCATCTATCAAATCTTCTAAAATACCAAATTTTAAACAATTTTATGGGTAAATGTGACTAGGATTATCAAAATACAGAATATCGGTGCGTATCGTTATATGCGCTATAGGAAATCGTGGAACTGAATATTCGATGTTCTGCCACGGGTCCAGATCCCATTATGAACTAAAAATTGGTCTGTTCCAGAACCTGCAAGAATCTGCTAGTGTTGCAGTTTTTTTTTCGATATCGTAAAGAGAAAATCGGTTATCATTGTAAAAACTTTTACATTCTTGCAGTACTGGAACAGAAGAATGCCAACTTTTATCACAATATCGAATATCGGCAGGTACTATTATATATATAACGGAAGGTACACTTGTATGGGGGCTATGCCAAAACGTGGACCTCTTACATACAATGTTTCGCCACACGAGGTAGAACTCATTATGACCTACAAAAATCAATTTTTACACAAATCCCTAGAAAAAGTGGCAAAAATCAACAAGATACCGAATATCGAAAGGTACCGTTATATGGGGGCTATGCCAAAACGTGGACCGATACATATCTCATTTTCAATACCAACTATACTAGGCACAATACAAATTGTTCTGCTAAATTTTGACGCTCTACGTCAAATAATGTGGGCTGTATCGTGATTTCAACATACAGACAGACAGTCGGAGAGCGTTAAATAGACTTAGAATTTTATGCTGGTTATGAATATATTTACTTTATAGGGTCTACGATGAATATTTAGGGATGTTACGAGCGGAATGACGAAGTTAATATACCCTCCTTTCCAAGGTGGAGGGAATAAAAATAAAAAAATTATCATACCCGGCATAGATATTTTAATCTTTAAAAAGGAAATTTATTTAAATATATTTTCTGATCATTGTCAATATCGTTTGTAAAATAGAACAATTAGAATAAAAAATAAAAAATTGTTTAAACACGTACAGAATATCGTAGAATGCACGAAGAGGGAAGGGAATTTAATAAATTTTCTCAATACATGTACGATAATCCTAAATTAAAGCAAGTAAGTAACTGACACAAATTTACCAAAATGAAGCCAAACATGAAAACAGCATTTAGTTTCTTTCTTTTTATAAGGAGTACTCATTGTTTTGCTCTCAAAACCCAATGAAGATGAACAGACACAAATTTGACGATCATGATGCTGAATATCTTTCCAAGCATAATCGTGAAGAAATGCTAATGAAAGCCAAGATGTTGGATCCTAACAGTCATGAAGACAATCTTAGGCGACTTCAAATGGAAAGAGCTATGACCAGTGGTGGTGATGCCGACCGTTTCTTATGTGATAATCGTTTCCATTCAAGCTATTATAAAGACCCTTCTAATAATTTTGTTCCTTGGACTAAAAACCGTTACTGTGCAAATGATTCCGCTTACGAAACACACGCTCCTCTTTCGTCATGCCAATGCCATGTTACCAATGCCTGTGTCACACAACCTACTGAAATTAAAGCGGGTGACAAACACAAAACACATGAAACTGGATCAACTATTGGTGGAATATGCATTGGTTCTGAGGGCAGCGAGAAAAGTCGAATGTCGCCGAAAACGGTTATTAGTCGCCGAAGTTCACACGACCTTAAAAAATTCGTCAGATCACAGTGTAAACTAGAAGAAGATATTGCTGAGACTCTAAAGAAGTTTGATGCTATACAAACCGATGCCGAAAACTGTGAACAAAGTAATAAATCAACCGTTAACGTTACAAAACCTTCGGCACAATGTGAGCATTGCACAACTCTTGGTGATGATAACGAAAACGTGACAATATCTCAACAACAGTTTCCCAATAATCCTGCACAAGACGCATTCACCATTACTGCCGATGAAATTGTGAACTCCAAAGTCATTAATCCCATGATACGAAAGTTAAGACGCATGTGTATGAACAGTCTTAGGGAAGAAATGTCTCTCATGGAGGATTTGGAACGTTTGCCACACAGTATTAATGAGTTGTACAAGGCGGCAGTATTCCATCAAAATAAATAAACGTATATTATTAACATTGTATTGGCAATAGAATAAACAATTTATATTTCGGATGCAATAAACTTGATCAATACATATAAAAATAATCTTAAATACTTTAATATAATTATTCAATTCAATTTAAGTTAATGTCAAACAAATGGATTTATCAGCCGCTACGATAAATCTCTTTGCAATTGTTCATAAACAGGACCATCATGTTGTAGCCTTCTTTGTCGAAATCAATGTTTTCGCCTCCGAATAGTATGGCCTGAAAAAAAACTCAAAATGTACATCCATTCTCTAATGATATCTAAAAACTCAAACACTACACTTACTTCTTTAGCTTTTACACTTGTGGATCCCATTGCTTTGCCAATTACCTCAATCCAATCGCCTTTTGATGCTCCAACGGAATCCGAGAGCTGAACGGTAACTTTTTGATCATCAGTACTGGTACCTATTAAGTTTGTGCCGGCTTCACTATCAACACACAACATTATGCTGACATTTTGGCCAGCAAATTGTCTAAGCATATTGCCATTTACGTGTGTTCTTGCTTCAAATGCCATATTTTCTAAAAACTTGAATTGTTTTGTAATATATGTAATTCGCTTAATAAATGTATTCAGATATTAGTTTCAGGTTTATCTACAGTTTTTTTCCTGGTGCTTCGTGTGAAGTGAAATACAGTCCTTGTGAAATTAATTCCGGAATGTAAACAAATATCTGCCGCCGAAATTGGCAAACAATCGATTTCGCTATTATAGTATCGATAATTTCTTCTGTGAATGCGGACAATCGAACAATATCATGCATCTAGTAATACAACGTTCTCACCAGGATTCCAACAACGCTCTGAGAATTAATAGTCTGTTCCAGAAGAGCAATGAATGAAAAAATATATACTACGATAATCGATTTTCCCATTGTGATATCGAAAAAAATTGTAAATCTTATAAATTCTAGCACGTTCTGGAAGAGAACAAAAGATGAAACAAAGCTAAAGAATGGCAGAATTTACAAGTTATGCTAATAGCATGTTTCCATTGGAAACCGAACAACGTTGTTCGCTCTCAGAATTAGGTACATGAATTAACCCGTTCATACGGCACGATTCGTAATTCATAGTAAAATAATTCCTTTTTTCAAAAAAATTGTTTGTTGATTTTAAAGGGTATGTATACGAAAATACATGAAATTCTCACTAATATGAATAGAAGAAATTATTGTTTTTCTCCCAAAGATTTATTATATCATTAATTTTACAATTTTCATTCACGTTTTCAACTTTTTGTGTAAATGTTGACATTTTGAACATATTTTTGTGTTTTTCCATTTTTAAATTCTGCTGAAGAGACACTTGTCAAACATTTTTTCTGCCGATAGAAACATTTTGAAAATATTGACTATTTTGTTTGCAGTTTTCTGTAGAAATTTTAACTCGTGGACCAAATGCGTACCTCGAATGAGAGAGAAAGCAAAATTTACTTTCGTTTGAATGTACATACGCCATTCAACATTGTAGTTTTCATTCATAATTTTCAGTCTTCCCAAAAATCATTAAAATTTCATTAAATTTTTCTATTTATAATTTTTAAAAGTCATAATTTATTTGTTCGATAAATGCTCTCATTTGTTAGGGATGGGACATATTTTTTCGTTGTTCTGAGAGTGATTTGATTTGAACAACGTACAAATATGAGTGTTCGCTCAGGAAATTTTGTGTGAAGAATTAGGTAGTTTTTTCATAGTTAAGGGTCAAACAACGAATAGAGAGCGAATCAAGTGCAGTGGAAACGCCACATAAGTTCACATGGCACGTGATTCGCTCTCTTTTCCTTGTTCCACTATTAATTAAGAAATATCTACCTAATTCCCCACACCAAATTTACTGAGCGAACAAAGATTTTTGTTCTTTGTTCCATTAGGATCACTCTCAGAACTAAGGTGAAATGTGTGTAATCCCCATGGTACAATAAAAATTTAAGGTAGACTTCTGCCAATTTTGTGTATGTATTTATTGTTTTGAAAAATAAAAACAAAATATTTTCAAAATCAATGATTGGAAGAATCTTAAATTGCGTGGCGTACATTAATGATATTAAACATGTTTATCACGGAATTGAAAGATTGAGCACTTAGGATCATATTTTTAAGAGAACATCCAGGCATTTCATTCATCTTTCGCGCTATTTAACTAATTTTAAAAATGAACAAAAAATATCAAATAAATGAAAACAACTTGTTGGATATAAGTTTGAATAATTCTGACAGGAAGCGGGCATAAACTCAGGGCTGTATTTCTGTAGTTTTACGAAGCTGTTCTGCCTCCTTATTGTACCATGGTCACCCCTAACAAATGAGAGCATTTATCGAAAAAATAAATTATGACATTTAAAAATACAAAATAGGAAAATTTAATGAAATTTTAAAAAATTTTGGGAAGATTGAAAATTATTAATGAAAACTACAATGTTGTTGTTGTTGTTTTGTCCTCGAGTTGGAATTTCGACAGAAAACTGGAACAAAGGTGTTATTTGTTATTTTTGTAACGACAATTTTTTTTTGACAAGCGACTCTCCAACTGAATTTAAAAACAAAAAAATACAAAATAATGAAAATGGTTAAATGAAAGATAAAATTGGAGGAAAAAATACACAATTTTGGAATTTGGATTATTAAATTGAAAATGCAGAAGAATAGTTTTTAAAATATTTAATGTTAATGCTTTACCATCATTCCCCTGAATGTATAGTTGTTAGCTGTTGGTCCTAATCTCTCAACACTTCAAGCAATCGCTAGAAAATCGTGGAAAAGGCAACACCCCTTTCAAGTTGAAACAAAACAGCATACATATATAAAGTATTCTACATTTTACAATTTTAGGAAACATAAAATATACGAATATATTATCTAGCGTATCGCAAAACTAGCTGGTTCTTGCAGGTTCGGGAGCAGGGCAATAATTGTTTTGTTCTCTTCTAGTTTTGCAATTTTTATACCCTACAACATAGCATGGAGGGAATATTAAGTGTGCCATTATATTTGTAACGCCTCGAAATGTACATTTTAGACCCCAAAAAGTATATATATTCTTGATCAGCACAAAATTCTATATTGATTTAGCGATGTGCGTCCGTCTGTGGAAATCACTGAGCATGTGTTTACATTTTGTGGGAGAAAATTTTCATTAAAAAATGTTTACATTCTTGCAATTCTGAAACAAAACATACATTTTTGCCATGACGAATACATTTGACATATTCCTGAACTGCATGACATTACGTTAATATGCTGGTCGTAAGAAGGTATATTATCGTATAGTAAATGTAGTTGAATACAATTGAATTATGACAATCATTTCAGATAATGAGGATAAAATTGTATATAGACGCACTTTAAGGCTTATGATTACTACAACCCCAAATTAAATTTCTGCTCGTTTCCAAAACTTTAAGAATGTTTAATACGATAGCCGATTTTTTCTTTATAATATCGACAAATTTCAAAACTAGTAGATTCTTGCGGTTACTGAGCACAGAGCACATAAGTATACATGTCAAAGGAGAAAAATTTCATTAATTTTTTTTTACATTCTTGCAGATCTGGAACAAGGCATATAATTTTGCCATGGCGAACACATTTGGTCTATTCCAGAACTGCAAGATAATCGATTTCCCTTTATTATATTGCAGGCCATTAACATTCCGCTCCATTGCAGAAACTTTCTATAAAACAATAAGGGAACAAAGCTTATACAACCCTAATTCGCTCCTTTTCATTCTCCCCAATTCGCTCGTTCTTTTATTTTCTCGATAACGATTTTTAGATGTGGAGGTACAATCGAAAATATTTTTTTCAATCACTAGGAGCTGCAGCCTAAACAATTAAAGGATTTTTTGCTGGTCAAATAAAATTGTTTATTTATTCAATTCTTAAACTCTTTTTCTACTTACCACGGGCAAATTAAAGTTTAAAAATTAGGGTTTATAAAAAAAACATAAATTTAAGCGAAAAGTGAATGAATGTGAAGAGTTTTTCGGGCTAAAATAATCACACCACAAAAAGGACGAACATCGATTTTTCTCAAGTATATAGAAAGAATAAATTGTGACCGGCTGGTCATTTAGGAACGCAGACAGGACTAGGCTGCTATACTACGAACATCAGTTTTTTAATAATTTGAGAAAGGGAGAAATGAGTAAGTTCCATAGGACAAGAATAAAAACTAAAATATTGTAGAAACTACTCAATGGAATTTGTGTGAAAATCTTATTGGAATGGGAGCAAATAAATAAATGTGTATTGAAGAAAATTCCATCAGTAAAATTAAATACATTCCAAGCCAAACAGTGGATATAGTATACTTGTTCTCGTACTAATTACTAATTATATGAATTAGTAAATATATATGGGCCACTTTGCATGCTCCTTGCCATTAAGAAAAAATTAACTAGGTATCATGACGTCACATGTCTACTTTCCCTCCCTCCCCTTCGACTTTAATGACCAATGTAAATCCTTTTCGATTTTGCCACAATAATGCACACAGAAATATCAAGGCTTGTGCTAAGCGTCACCGTCGATATCGCAATCACTTGCGTGGATTTATGTCCATACATCACCATAATGTCTACATCTTTTTGCTTCATTCTCATACCAGTGTCGGTTTGTTATTTTCAGGTGAAGAGGAAAGTGAAAAAATTGTTTTGGACTTGTCCAAAAAACAGCTGAAAAAAGTGCCAAAACAAGAAGAAGCCCAAAATGTACGTGTTCTTCTCTTAGATGAAAATGAATTACAGAAAATTGATAATATCGATTCATATTTGAAAATAGAAAAGGTAAGCATACTCGCAGTCGACACTTGAGACAATTGTTTCCGGTCTGTAATATTTTTTGCATTTCTTTTTATTGTAGCTTTCCTTAAGTAAAAATCAATTGCTACGCATGTATGGCATATGTCGTCTACATTGCTTGAGAGAATTAAATCTTTCGTTCAATGGAATTTTATCAATTGA